TCTGATTGTGTGGCTTTCTATGGCAATGGTGACCTCCTACTTCTGTATAGAACGACATGTTCTCACAGACTGCTTAAGCATGTACCTGTCGAATTCGCCTTGACACCCTTTTGAAATGATGTTCAAATTACTAGAGAGAGATTTATTTCTTCGTACCTGGAAGGTGGTATGCTTCAAGCGACAGTTAAAAACAACCTGTACCGCCGAGACAGGTGCCATCATTGTAATTCTACAGTGATTTGAGGGTGTATATTTAAATGATTAAGTCACTCTGGAAAAAGCCCTAAGTATGGAGGAAAACGAAATTCAAAATTTTCATCACAAACGATTCAGTACATAAAAAGCATGGGAGCGGTGATTCAGACTCGAAATTGGGTATTCCAGCAAGAGGTATGTCCAGGTTGCGTGAGTAGATAGTCGGATTTGAAAACTGACGGATCTCCATGAAGTATTTCTTTATAAGCAGTACACAAAACCACGTGGACATAAATATTTACAGATGCACATCAAACGGGTGCAAGTTAACAAGATTATAGTCGGATTTGAAGACTGACGGATCTCCATGAAATATTTCTTTATAAGCAGTACACAAACCACGTGGACATAAATATTTACAGATGCACATCATACGGGTGCAAGTTAAAAAGATTAATGTACATTAACGACACGTTGAGGCTCTAAGTACTGCAGCTATTGTATTACATGGGATTACAACAGGACCAAGTGACAAAGAAACTATTTATATATATTAAAGCTGACACTAACCAAAATAACAACAAACACACAAACGTTTGGAATAACTGAGTACATAAGGGTGTAATTTTCACTCTATTAGCGTCAAACTGCGATATTACAGATTTTTGCATCATGTTGTCTGTATGAAAAGTCACCATGGCCAGCGATGACAGAGAAAGCATACATGTACCTAATACATCAATCGACAACATTGTCGAATAGTGTGTGTGAGTGAGTGAGTGAGTGAGTGAGTGAGTGAGTGAGTGAGTGAGAGTGAGTGAGTGAGTGAGTGAGTGAGTGAGTGAGTGAGTGAGTGAGTGAGTGAGTGAGTGAGTGAGTGAGTGAGTGAGTGAGTGAGTGTGTGTGTGTGTGTGTGTGTGTGTGTGTGTGTGTGTGTGTGTGTGTGTGTGTGTGTGTGTGTGTGTGTGTGTGTGGATATTATATAACACCTTTCAGTCCGGGTGTTTTGCTGCAAGAAAACCCAGTATCATATACTGGTAGGTCCCTGTGACAGATAAAACCCCTCACCATGCTTGTTGTTGTGTGCAGTTGCCATGACATCAGTAATTGGGGCGTCCAGATGTTGAAAACACCATATTACTTTCCTTGAACTGCCAACATAGCTGTAAATATAACACTGTACCTTCGCACATAATACTCAGATATGTGTCTCTGCTGAGCCTCGTTGTTAAAATCGCCTAGGGTTCATCAATGTCCATGGGTTCATCTTGCTCTTCTTTAGGGACCTCCTCCTTGTCAGTAGATACCTCGTGCACACTTAAAGGAGTTAGGTGTGCCTTCTTGTCCGATGAATAAGATCCTGACATTTGATCCGTACTTAAAGGTAGTTCCGACATCTGGAGTAAAATGTCCTCCAATTCCCTAACTGGCGGAGACATCGACATGATGCAGTGGATGATATCCTCAATTGGCTCCAGCTCTTCCTTGAAACCATATGTTTCAGAGAGATACTTCGCATCTCTCGCAAATGTTAGACCTTGTGATGCAAACTCACCAGGTTTCGATGTTGGACAGATGCGTTCTTTATGATAATAAAGCACAGCGTTGCCAAGACAGTAGAACATGTATCTTCTGTTATTGTAGTCCTTCCTGTCTGGTCCAGCTTTTTTAAAGCAGGCTTCTGCCTCTTTGATGTCGCTCTCTTGAACATCATAATTTGTACGCCGACCAAACACACCAATGCCTAGACAGCAAAAAGCCAATTTCAGATAAAATATCCGGCAGAATTCATCCCGCATATCGGCTGATGTCTCTGGGAAGTGGACTTCTATTGCTTCAAGTATGCTCTCCTTAAGTTTCAATTTATTGTCTTCGGTTGGTCTGGCTTCGTACAGCTGCATGAGGAGATTAACGTGAATGTACATCACCATACCTGTATCCTTGCAAGGTTGAATCAGTTGCATTTTCTTCCTGGAATCTTCTACGAGTCTGATCCCTTCTTCGACATCTGACAGATTCCCTTTCATTGCAATAGCTGATCCTTTGCGAGCAAGAAATACCATTGAACCTGCTTCTGAGTGAGTCATGGTTGCCACCAATCTTTCCATGTCAGCTATGATATCCATTTGATCTTGCCCTTTGTCATAAAAGAGCCTTCGCTTTGCCAGTTCTGATTCAAGCATTTGGAAAAGGATGTCAGAGTCATTTGGAAATTTATGCTTCATCTTTTGTACAATGCTAATGAATTTAGGCAGTTCCTGTTTTCCACTGTTGGTAATGACTCTCAGTTTGTAGCTGATGGTAGCCAAAAGTTTCTTCTTCTTGTCCATTATATTAACTTTGTGAGGTAGTAACAGATTTGGTCCTTGTATTCTGCTATTCCAAGCTGATTGCTTCAGAGTATCAATTTTGTCTCTCAGTAATGTTGCTAGGTAAACGTGACTACGTTTATATTCGAGTGCCTCTAGGAACAATGGTATGATCCTCTTCTGTCTAACGGCCTTGAGAAGTGCTCTGTTTTTTTCTGGGGCGATTTCAAGAGCGCGAATTTGCTTGCACTTCTGTCCTGTCAACCCATTTCGACGTTTGAGAAAGTTCAAAATATTATCTTCAGGGTCAAGTCTATCAACTAATTCAACACGTAGTTCACGTAGTGCTCTCTCTTCTAGACTTTCCCTGGTTTCTTTGTCAGATGATCCTCTTCCAAAAATTTTTTGCGCCATTTTCAAAGTCCTAGTTGTTTATTAATCTATAGCTGACCCAGGGTGTTATCGACTTCAGTAATGACATAACACTATACAAAGGCTCTTTGCGAAGAGTCATTCACAATTGTACATTTTGTATAACTGCTGGACGGACGATCATGAAATAGCACTTGCTTCCTTTATCGCCAAGTATGTAAGTTAACACATGCACCATGCCATTGTATTGATCTCATGGCATTGTTTACTCAGAGCCAGACAACTGTGAGGAATAGCGAGATAGCAATGCTTGGTCTTGTTAACTCACCTGTGTCAAGGTACCCCAATGGCGTCAACTGATTCTCATTGAGTAGTGCACTTCCCCAATCAAATCAGAAAGCTCAACATCTTATCTTCAGAGTCAAGTCAACTAATTCAAGTCCTTGATAGTTCCTTGATGTAAGGTTCTTTACATCAACTGCTGGCTTACGTTTTCCTTTCTCAAATACTTCGTATCCAGTGATACTATTGTACTGCAATGTATGATCCCGTATGTAAGACGAACATAGATTTACGATCGCTGGTTTTTGACAGCCGGTGGTCATTACTGTTTGTTGCTTCCCTCGCCAGGTACAACTGGAAAATAATAGCAAGCATTTGTCCTTTGAGGCGACATGACAATCAATATACCTAAAATTAGATCCACCTGCAACTTACCAATTGTATTGCAGATAGCCACGTTGGGTAAAATCGATCTGGCATGTTTCGGTGCGCAATCACACCGTTAGATAGTATTCAGTTGATCTAAAATAGGATCCACGTGTTCAAAGACATTTATTCAACAACATGAAACATACATTATGCACGAATTAATTTGTTTGTTGTCTACGTTCTTAAGCTGACACATATTAAAGTAAGCATTAAATGAATTGAAGCTCAAAGTTATAACTGTAATTGGTGCGGTGAAAGCCTGTTAATCTTTTTCCTATATATCTCCTTGGGGATTTCAGGTAAGAATAAGTCATCAGCAACCTGTGCTGGCCGTAAAAGGACATTAAATGGATCGGGTGGTCAGGCTCGTAGCCTGACGACATAGGGATATTAAAAATCAAACACTGGTTTATCTGATCCAGACTCGATTATATACAGCCTCTAGGGTGGAATATTGCGGAGATTGACATTAAACAACAAATAAACATGCCAGCACACTCATAATCAGAATGAAAAATACTCATAATCAGAGTAAATATTACGCAAGTATACAGCCTCACACGTATTCAGGCCAACAAACCTGGTCTTATCCTTTTGGATAAATTACAATAAAATCCAATATATAACTGATTTTTCTGTCCCTTTTGACACTAATATCATTACCAAGATTCTGGAGAAACATGGCAAATTTTCAGACCTCGATTACGAAACGTCACGCTTGCATTCCAGGTACAGACCCCTGAATATCTGGGGTAGAATAGGTCTTCAACAACCCATGCTTGCCGTAAAAGGCGACAAAACTTGTCGTTAGCAGCGTCTAACGGGATCGGGTGATTGGTGGACTTGGTTGATGCATGTCATCGATCCCAGTTGCGTGGATCGATGTTCATGATGATAAATCACTGGATTGTCTGGTCCAGACTCAATTATTTACAGACCGCCGTCATATAGCTGGAATACATCTGAGTGTGGCGTTAAACAACAAACAAACAAACATCTCAGGTACCAAGTAGTCTGACCATCCATTGTTCTCGCTGATTTAGGTTTAGGACCATCCAATCTGTTGAATGACATTGTGAGAGGACCCGGGTTAGCTGCAGGTAACACAGCCCTTCTGACAATCTGGGTAATGCGGAAGGCTGCAGTATCGGGGAGTCTTCACAATCTCTGAAAGGTTCTTGGTGGGTTCAACAAAGCAGCACTTCCCGGGAGAAGTCCCATTCGCTTTCTGGGCTGCGTGTAGAGGGGGGCAAGGTCCCTGAGCTGCTGATGAGTCTGACCAGCCTGACTGAGCCAGGATCACCCAAATCCTCTTTGCTGCATCTATTTAGTATAATCTGTGTCATAATAATAATAATAATAAGAAGAAGAAGAAGAATTTAATTTAATTTGAAAACTCTACATTGGTGCCACTAAAAACCATTACCCCAAAGATGATATAGGCAATGCACACATTTGACATAATTTTATTCATCACAAATATGAAAACCTTGGTAGACCTTGACAATAGGATATCAAACAAAAACTAAGTCAGCTTTCTTCAGTGTCAGTAAATGTAAGCATTTTATCCTCATGCTTACTGTGGGTAATAACAGAAGAAATCACGCATTCAATAAGGAAACTAATCTGTATCATATGAAGCCGTTAATATTGATTAGTATCATGAGGAACAAGGTTCTGTTGATAAGACTGACTCACTTTGACAAGTTACAAATCATGGTCATGGGGTACGTTGACTGAAATGTATCAACATCTTCGAGTTCAAACAACCACGTCACAACATTGTTGTGTTAATGTATTATACATAAAGGAAATGATGTCTATTGCTTCGTCTGAAAAGGAATAAGAGACAATGACACAGACAGCTAAACAAACCAGTATACCAAAACAAAGTAATTGTTTATGATATTTCCTATTGACTTCTCTCCCAATAACATTCAGTTCAGGACCCCACTGGTTTGAAGTTTTCTGCAGCACACTCTCCAAAACGAGTCCATTCAACTCATTCTCGATTTCATGTTGTCTTGTTTTACGTTCCTGTAGCTCGATGCTTTCAACCTCTTCTTTGAGATGACCAGTCAGTTCTAGAATTGGTCCCAACTCCTTCATATATCCACAACATATGGCCTTTTGTTCTGCCATATTAGCAAAATCCAAAGCGTCTCTCTGATTGTCTCGTTTCCGAGAGAGAACTGACTTCGCCATGAAGTAGAACATCTTTCTCCTGTTGTCGAAAGTGTGTTGCTGTGAGTCAATGTATCTCAGACATGCCTCGGCAGATCTCAAATCATCCTCAGAAGTAACACCGCCTTCTATACAGTTTCCAAACAACCCAATACCAAGATAACAGAATACAAATTTCAAGTACAACATCCTGGAATAGTCCTCCCGAAGTAAAGGTAAACCTTCGGCAAAGTGGACATTGATAGCTTCGTCGATTTTATTGATGATGTCCCGTTTGATATTCAGTAGAGGATTTTTCTCGTAGATTTGTAGAAGGATGTTAATCTGTATATACACAACCATCCCTGTGTCCTTGCATGGTTCAATCCTCTCAGCGAGAGCTCGAGCATCTTCAAGCATATCCATACCCACTTCTAGTGACTCTTTCATAGTCCTAGCAGATCCTTTTCTGGCGAGGAACATCATTGTTGCAGCTAAAGGCTGAGATGATGTTTTCAGGAGCTTCTCCATCTCATCAAATATATCCCCTCTATGCAAATCAGTATCATACACCAGCCTTCGGCTCTCTACTTCAGCGTCTAACAGAGTCAACATGACATCTGAATCATTGCCGTACATAGCCTTGTATTTTGTAACACAATCAGCAAATTCATTTTTCTTTCCGTCATGAGACATCAATTTCAAATGATAATGCAGCTTCGTAAGAGTCTTCTTCTTTCCATCCATAATAGCAACCTTCCTTGGTTGCTGAACAATGGTTTCAGTGGGTTCTACAGCTCTGTATTTTGAAACTGTCTCATCATCAAAGCCATCCTCATTATTAGAACATATGATTTTAGCCTGTTCTTTTCCCGAATGAATAGCTTGTTCTCTGTAAGTACAACTTCTGACACAGACCTTTTGGATAGTCCCTGCACATACAAGAACGGTGGTAGCATCTGGATCGAAAAGACATGTTCCATTGCTGATAGTGTCTATTTGTGATCGAGCAACAGATTCACCACTTAAGAAAGGTTCGCCACTTACATGGTCTGTTGATGGAGCATGACTGTAACCTCTTTGGCCAGGATCCTCTTGCCCCTGAAGATCTTTGATTGACTGTCTCAGTCTTCTAGCAAGATAGAGGTGGCTGTTCCCATATTCAAGTCCTTTGATGAATAATGGTATAATAGCTTTCCGGATGACGTTGTCAATGAGCAACGTAGCTTGCTTCTGTCTGGTTTCTTTAGAACTAATTTCTTCATATGTAGATGTTATAATAAATAGAAGGTGGATTCTTATCTTGTTAACAAAAAGGTTGAAATTTGAAGATAATATAATGAATATGAATACATTGTGTTAATACAGAATTGCTTAAGTTAATATGCTGATTTTGCGAACAAGTCTTTTATATAATTCATCTGAAAATGTTAATCTAACCTTAACTTTATAGATATCACAAGATAGTAAGATAAGAATGCAGGTGTAATACACACCGGGAAGAAGAGGTGAGGTGAGGTGAAATTGGGTTTAACGTCGCGTCCAAGATTATTGCACTTATATAGCGACGTGCATGCACGTGTATGTGTGTGTGTGTGGCTGCTTGTACTAGTCCGGACTGATGCCGATTTATAGTGCTAGCACACTGAGATACCATGCCGCAGTTTAACATGAATACCCGATTCAGACACAGTATACTGACTCCGAGCCGACCAGTCCTTGTTTTAGCCCCTTAATGCCGAGCGCCAGACAGGGTAACAACAAGTACCATCTTTTAACGTCTTTTTGTATGACGCGGTCGGGGATCGAACCCCGGACCTTCCGCTCCCCGGGCGAACTCTCTACCATTAGACCACGGAGGCGGTCCCGGGAAGAAGAAACAGTGTGTCATTTAATAAAGACAAGGTCGACATGCGGGGCAGGACTGACACAACAAATATTATCTCATACTAGCTGATTGGGTGACACCATAACCCAATAACAACTACTGGGAGGGTGGGGATAAATACATCCGCCATTCTGGCGAGAACATAGTAAAGGACGGTAACTCCATAAGCCCTACTGCGATAACTGATGCACATGTGGTCAAGGGGAGGTAAGTTGTAACTAACGCATGACAAGGTACATTTTAACCATTAAAATACAATCATTGAATTATATCTACCATATAATTTGATTTTCAAGTTTTCTTCAAACGTTGGGTGAGTGCTTCTAAAGTTCATTTAACAAAACACATCATTTTACTTTTTCGGAAATATAATTTAGTCAATTTAGCTGCCATTAAGAATATCTTGATACATTATTGGGCCTAGGTTTGTAATGTAAGCAAACATGGAGTGTATGGTTCAGGTTCAGAATAAGTCACCCACACGAATATAAACATTATATACATATACATAGAAGCGAGAGTCTCCACCATGAAAAGTGACGATTAAATAGTAATTTCCACCATTATATCGCTGCGCAGAATTGCGTCCCTTAGGTATACCAGGAAACTACGATCGTGGGTTCAAATCCTACTTCGACCTGATTATATTTCTAGATTTGTCAGTAACATAACCTTTGGTTTCACCAAGTGGTAAACGTCTGAGACCTGCATCACTGCGGGCTTTCTTTCATCACGAAGCTGACACGCCGTGATATAATTGGAATACTGCCCAGAGGGACACAAACCCAAACTCACTACCGTATACATGTGGTCGTGTGGATGCAAATTCATTTTTTTTATCTCAATCTTCATTGAACCAATTTTTTTACACAAATTACCAAGCCACAGATTACTCTTTACAAATGGTTGCAGGAATGAGTGATGGTTAAAAAAGACATTATCAAATGAAACAACAGTTCTATCAAATTTCAATTACATACCAAACAAACTAGGTATAATTTGTTTTGTCCTCAGTTTATTATATAAACAACGTTTCAACGTTCATAGCAATATACATATAATATATAAATTCAGTAACTGAAGCGGGTGGTCAGGCACGACGACTGAGGCAATCGTACCCGGACCGTGTGGATCGATTCATAAATATCAATCACTGGATTGTCTGGCCGCCGCCATATAACTGGAAGGCTTATCCTCACTTTGCCACCAGGCTGGTGAGGATTAACAGTGGTGGTGTTTTCACAAGGAAAGGGAGCATGTTCAAAGGTGCCAGGTGAAGTGATCTCACTTAGACAATCTATAGGTCCCTAACAGCTATAGGTCCCTAACAGTGAACACAGTTAACCTCATGAGCCAGCAGGTTGATTGTAGATAAGTAGTCTTCACTATATGAAAGTATTAAATCATTTAGAAAACATTTTGAATTTGGAGTGATAAACAATAATTGGCATAGTGGTTAGTTAAGTGAGTAATCAGAAATCATTGACATAATTTAATTGACTCAGTACTGTTGAGTGTGGAGTGCAAACAAACAAACAAACATGAACTGACCTTATAACCAGGTAATCAACAGTCCTAAATGTAAGATGGCCATTCCCAACAGATGAACCTGTTCACATAAATTTCAAAACTACTTTTGCCGTTTACGCCTACTGGGAATTGTCTAGGTGGATCACCAAGACTGGTATTCTCTTGGCGTTGACATTTTATGGTTGACAATTGAAATGTTTTTGTCGCTTTTATGTATCAACAAAGTAAAGAGTAATTTACTCCGATTGGTGTTATTTTATCCATGGTACAATAACACACAGCAGGGTATCTACATAAACGCTTTAGGAACAGCGAATAACTTTGACGCTTTACCAGAAAGATACATATGACATATTTCCTCAATGAAAAATTATTTTAAGAAGAGCCCTCGTTTCATTTTAAACACAAACTGCATATATCTACGATTCAGTAACATAATTATCTGGAAAATGACATAATGATTTTAATTTGAAACTGATATTCAGAGAATATACCCGCATTTATACACATTTGTGCGCTATTGACAGTGACTCATAAACACATGCTCACGCTTGCAATCGAACAATGGACTCTGCTCCAGCAAATATTTCTTATGGTTGTGGAAAGGGTTTTGTTGCTATTATTTTCATGGCTTCAATAGCATTACGTTTCCACCCTGCTGCCTCTGATTGTGTGGCTTTCTATGGCAATGGTGACCTCCTACTTCTGTATAGAACGACATGTTCTCACAGACTGCTTAAGCATGTACCTGTCGAATTCGCCTTGACACCCTTTTGAAATGATGTTCAAATTACTAGAGAGAGATTTATTTCTTCGTACCTGGAAGGTGGTATGCTTCAAGCGACAGTTAAAAACTACCTGTACCGCCGAGACAGGTGCCATCATTGTAATTCTACAGTGATTTGAGGGTGTATATTTAAATGATTAAGTCACTCTGGAAAAAGCCCTAAGTATGGAGGAAAACGAAATTCAAAATTTTCATCACAAACGATTCAGTACATAAAAAGCATGGGAGCGGTGATTCAGACTCGAAATTGGGTATTCCAGCAAGCGGTATGTCCAGGTTGCGTGAGTAGATAGTCGGATTTGAAAACTGACGGATCTCCATGAAGTATTTCTTTATAAGCAGTACACAAACCACGTGGACATAAATATTTACAGATGCACATCATACGGGTGCAAGTTAAAAAGAGATTAATGTACATTAACGACACGTTGAGGCTCTAAGTACTGCAGCTATTGTATTACATGGGATTACAACAGGACCAAGTGACAAAGAAACTATTTATATATATTAAAGCTGACACTAACCAAAATAACAACAAACACACAAACGTTTGGAATAACTGAGTACATAAGGGTGTAATTTTCACTCTATTAGCGTCAAACTGCGATATTACAGATTTTTGCATCATGTTGTCTGTATGAAAAGTCACCATGGCCAGCGATGACAGAGAAAGCATACATGTACCTAATACATCAATCGACAACATTGTCGAATAGTGTGTGAGTGAGTGAGTGAGTGAGTGAGTGAGTGAGTGAGTGAGTGAGTGAGTGAGTGAGTGAGTGTGTGTGTTTGTGTGTGTGTGTGTGTGTGTGTGTGTGTGTGTGTGTGTGTGTGTGTGTGTGTGTGTGTGTGTGTGTGTGTGTGTGTGTGTGTGTGTGTGTGTGTGTGTGTGGATATTATATAACACCTTTCAGTCCGGGTGTTTTGCTGCAAGAAAACCCAGTATCATATACTGGTAGGTCCCTGTGACAGATAAAACCCCTCACCATGCTTGTTGTTGTGTGCAGTTGCCATGACATCAGTAATTGGGGCGTCCAGATGTTGAAAACACCATATTACTTTCCTTGAACTGCCAACATAGCTGTAAATATAACACTGTACCTTCGCACATAATACTCAGATATGTGTCTCTGCTGAGCCTCGTTGTTAAAATCGCCTAGGGTTCATCAATGTCCATGGGTTCATCTTGCTCTTCTTTAGGGACCTCCTCCTTGTCAGTAGATACCTCGTGCACACTTAAAGGAGTTAGGTGTGCCTTCTTGTCCGATGAATAAGATCCTGACATTTGATCCGTACTTAAAGGTAGTTCCGACATCTGGAGTAAAATGTCCTCCAATTCCCTAACTGGCGGAGACATCGACATGATGCAGTGGATGATATCCTCAATTGGCTCCAGCTCTTCCTTGAAACCATATGTTTCAGAGAGATACTTCGCATCTCTCGCAAATGTTAGACCTTGTGATGCAAACTCACCAGGTTTCGATGTTGGACAGATGCGTTCTTTATGATAATAAAGCACAGCGTTGCCAAGACAGTAGAACATGTATCTTCTGTTATTGTAGTCCTTCCTGTCTGGTCCAGCTTTTTTAAAGCAGGCTTCTGCCTCTTTGATGTCGCTCTCTTGAACATCATAATTTGTACGCCGACCAAACACACCAATGCCTAGACAGCAAAAAGCCAATTTCAGATAAAATATCCGGCAGAATTCATCCCGCATATCGGCTGATGTCTCTGGGAAGTGGACTTCTATTGCTTCAAGTATGCTCTCCTTAAGTTTCAATTTATTGTCTTCGGTTGGTCTGGCTTCGTACAGCTGCATGAGGAGATTAACGTGAATGTACATCACCATACCTGTATCCTTGCAAGGTTGAATCAGTTGCATTTTCTTCCTGGAATCTTCTACGAGTCTGATCCCTTCTTCGACATCTGACAGATTCCCTTTCATTGCAATAGCTGATCCTTTGCGAGCAAGAAATACCATTGAACCTGCTTCTGAGTGAGTCATGGTTGCCACCAATCTTTCCATGTCAGCTATGATATCCATTTGATCTTGCCC